ATTCATGCCTACACATTCACTTTGGAACCATGCCTACACATTCCCGTCCGAAATCACGGACATTCATAAATTATGAATCCATGCCTGCACATTTACTTTGGAACCATGCCTACACATTCACTTTGGAACCATGAGATTATGAATTTTCTGTTATAAGATTATGAATTTTCTGTTATGAGATTATGAATTTTCAGTTATGAGATTATGAATTTTCTGTTATGCGATTATGAATTTTCTGTTATGAGATTATGAATTTTCATTACATTCATAATTTCGGACATTCATAAATTATGAATTCATGCCTGCACATTCACTTTGGAACCATGCCTACATATTCCCGTCCGAAATCACAGACATTCATAAATTATGAATCCATGCCTGCACATTCACTTTGGAACCATGCCTACACATTCACTTTGGAACCATGAGATTATGAATTTTCAGTTGTGAGATTATGAATTTTCTGTTATGCGATTATGAATTTTCTGTTATGAGATTATGAATTTTCATAAAATTCATAATCTCATAACAGAAAATTCATAATTTGATCAAACGCGCGCCGTTAACTCCACATCCGCGAAATTTTTTTTTTTTTTGCCTAAAAACGACGTCGTTTTGCCTTGTGTTCACCATTCTCGGTGAACACGATTCCATGGCATAATTTGCGCTACAAGTTTAGGATTTTAGTTGAGAATGAACGCATGCTTCAATTTGGTATCAGAGCCAACCACATGTCAAAGGTACGGTCATGGGTTCGAATATCCACGTCACTTGATAAAAAAAAAAAAAAAAAAAAAAAAACTATAGTCCACGTGTTGCTTGGAGCCCATAAAAAAAATTAATCGGCCCACACACATGAGGGGGCGTGTTGAACATATAATATATAAACATAAATGTACAATTCAACTATCAGCTTAGCCTTTTAGTTGAGATGGAGCACATGTTTCAATTTTGTATCAGAGTCAACCACATGCCAAAGTTCATGAATTCGAATCTCCGCATCTCCCAATAAAAAAGAAAGAGCACATGCTTATCATATATAAACATAAATATGTAATACTTTTAGTTGAGATTGAGCACATGCTTAACTTTTCTAATGTAAAACAAATGTTACTCACAAGTCTTTCAAAACGCTATTTTTTCAATTCAATGACTACACTCTATTTTTGGTAACAAATTAAATATCTCACTTTAAAAGATTTGAATTCATTTTGATATGACCCAAATTAAAAGTGATCCATACTAAAAATATTGCGCAAAAAATGTCAGTTAAATAATTTTTTTAGTTAATTTTTGCAGCAATATTTGTAGGGATGGTCTAGATAGAGGAGCATACGCGCGAGGTACACCCATCCATAATATGGTTATTGGTTGCATCGTCGGCCATTGTGAGGACATTGTTTTTATAATATTCGATATAATTCAAATAGCATATATATGATTATAGTTGATATAAATATGATGTTAATCACACCTTAAAATTTATTTATATTTATAGAAGTAAAATTTAACTTTTTAGTCTCCTAATTATATAATTACAATTCTCACTATAATTTTATGCCGATGAACAAATTTATTTATTTAAAACATAAAGACAAATTTACACTATTAAGTTTTAACATCTATTCATAAAAAATGAATTATTTTGCCCTGAATAAAATTACAATATAATATTCTCTCAAATTTTTATTAAAAGTGATGATTGTGTTAATAGAACATGATTCTCATATTTAAAATGTCACGAATTTCATTTTCATAATACTCTATCAATCAAATAAATTTACCAAAATATACACTATCAGATACGGAGTAATATTTATAAATTTTATCATCACAAAAAAAAAAAAAAAAAAAAAAAATCTAAATTGCATCTCAAGCAATGGTACACAAAAAAAGAAGTTATATTGTTGGATCAAGGTCAGTAATAATCTAATGGGATAAGACAAGATATTAATGCGGTCGTAATCAACTAGAAACCTTCACAACCCCGATGAAGATAGCCATTCACATGCATGCATGCCTTTATATAGTTGTTTAATTATTTTTATGACATATTTGAAAGTTTATATATATATATGGGATAAATTCAGTTCATGTATAATAATTTACAAACCAAATAATGAAAAATAAATTGTATTAGAAAATTTATGTGCAACAGAGAATAAGAGAGAATTGACAATAATTAAACTCATGACCTTTACATATGAAAATTATTCTCTACTTACTCGATGATCCCTTCTCGACAATTTTTTAATTAATCTTAATTTCTTGTAGAGCTCCAGAAATGGATGAAGAGTATGGGAGTTGAAGTTGTCTAAGTTAAGTCAGGGGCTTTGCTTGTGATCCAATGATTAAAGAACAATAGTATTGACTCATCTTTTGATCTTGTTCTATTAAATATTCGTAAATTAGTTAATGAATTTTCTAAAATTAGCTTTATGTTTGTTAAGCGATATGTGAATGCGACTGTTCATTTATTGTTTGGGACGCCGTTTTCATTGCTGATTACAAAGAATGTACTTCCATCCTTCTTGACTTTTTGTCTATTTTTTGTAGTATGATACTTCTTAATGTGAAACGTAATTATTATTATTTTTCTTTTAAAGGATGGGGAATGAGAAAAAAATCAAAGGCAAAGCTGGCATTGGGACAAGAGAAATTCCTTGTCCCATGGAAGTTGTTCTTCTTCATCAATTCGCCACTGTCTACAGTGTTGTCGTTCCACTTAAAATAAAGCATTAAAATAAGACTTAAGTATATATCTAATCTTGAATATAATTGTTTACAGCTAAAGTTCTGCTGCCTTCAATCATGCATGCATTTCAGGGATTAATGGAAGGATTAGGTCAGTTTAACTCTCCAATTATATATCATTTTATTTGCGACGATTAAGGGTGTTAAGTGTCCATAGCCCATGTGATTTAATTTTCCAATTTAAATTGGAGATGTGAAACAAGTTTTGTTTTCAAGTTCAATTTTGGGAATTATCTTTGTGGTGAAAATAATGTCATTATTAGCTAAATCCTTTTTTAGATTTTAATTTAGAAAATTAGTTCTCGAGCCATGATTTGAAATACATTTACAAATTTTCTGTGAGAATTTATTACTTATAATATTGGCAATTATAGCACATTGGAAGCAGAGATTTAGGCCGAGAATACTTAATGTCGATTGTTATACTGCAAATTCTGGTACAAAAATTATATATTTGTAGTTTGATATATTTTACATATGTAGTTAACAATTTATATGCCTAACAAGAGAATTTTTCTTTAATATAAAATATAAAATAAGAATAAAAAGTTGATAAATAATTCATAAATTATGATAGGCAAAAGATGTGTGACAAGTGACATCGATATCAAAATGTGATACTAATAACAATTTATAATTGTTTACATTTTACAAAAAATATACTCCCTTCGTCCCTTTTATGTGTCTGATTCGATTAACGAGGCTTGACTAAATATTTTTTCAATATAACTTTTTATAATACTAAGTTTTCAAAAAAAAAGTTTAGTATTAGTATACAAAATTTATATAATTATAAATTATTACAGTAAATATTATTAAACCCAAAAAAATCAAATTTAAAAATAAATAAATAATACTAAAGAAAATTAACAAAGAAAAAAGAGTTAGGGGGGAGTATTCAATCATGACTTTCATAGAATTTTAAAGACTTTTATAAACTTTAAAAGTTTGGGGGTATTCAATTCAAATTTTGAGAGAGTCTTTAAAAGTCAAGCAGTATTTAATCAAGATTTTTAAAGAGTCTTTAAAAGTCGTGTGGTATTCGATTAAGATTTGTAGAGAGTCTTTAAAAGCCACGTGGTATTCAAAAAGTTATGAACTTTTGTAGACTTTTTAATTTTAAGACTTTTGTAGACTTTTTCTTCTCAAATATAAATAGTTGAAATCCAATCATCAACCCCCAGATGGCCAGATTTCAAAATTTTCTTTCTAACAACTTTGAATGTTTTCTCTCTCTATTTAAACTCTATTTTTTCTCCCAATTTAAACTTTATAAACCTATCTAAATTTAATAAAAATTATTTTTTTCTTTATTATCCTATATTTTCTTCATACATAAACTCTACTAATTTTTCGCTCTCCTCAACTTACAATCTTCTTCTAAAAATTCGAAATAATATTATTTTTACTTCATTATTACTTGTTTATATTGAATTTTATTTTTTCTATGAATTTTTTATCCATAACTTTCTCTAATTCTCCCTAAATACATGAACAAAGCAAATTTTTCATCATCAAATTTTAGTATATGTTTCTTAATATTCATATAAATACTTATATATTTCGATTTTTATTCTTTTTATGTTTATATTCATAATATATATTTTTCCTTTTTTTAACAAGTTACTACGAATAGCGAACTACTGTTCGCAACAACAATTTAGGGTTGCAAATTGCTATTGCAAATAATAGTTCTTTGCGTGATGCCTAACAATATATAAAGTATAATTTTATATATATATATATGCAACATGTAATTATATTTTTAAATATTTTATTTGATCAATTCTTTTATTATAAATTTTATTATTCAATGTTGTTATGAATTTCTAATGAAATAATTTTTTTGATGTTTATTAATAATATATATAAGTAATTAGCATATAAGTCTCAACATACTATCAATAAAAATAATAATGTTGAGAATGTTGATGTGGGTGAAGAACTACATAATAAGAAAATTTTATGATATATTATAAATGTTTTGTAAGAAAATTATAAATGATAAGAATCAAAATCATTGAAAGTTTGTAAGGATGTATTCAATTTAGAACTTCAATGATTTTTGTAGACTTTTTAAAATAAAAATTTGATAAAAGTCTATGAATGTTTTTTATATAGACTTTTATAAAGTTTTAAAAAGTTTTGAACAAAACTATGAAAGTCAATCAAAGTTTATTAAAATCTATCATTTTAAAAGTCTTTAAAACTCTACAAAAGTCATGATTGAATACACCCGTTAATTTGACCAATAAATAGTGAGTATGACAGATAAAAAGTATTATAGATCTCTATTCTTCATTTGTTACAATGAATATTATCTGAAAATGTGATGCATTGAATTTGCCACTCCATCCTAAACTTGACTGGGGTGCATTAGAGCAACAGGAGACCTAAATTTCAAAAACAAAAATATCATTAATCAAATACATATCCAACTAGAAACATCACAAAAGTTTACTGGTTAAATACCATAGAGAAATATATTGTAAGGCAAATAATTGATAAGCCACAAAATAGAAAGTTATATCAGCAGGAAACTCATAATCAAGAATATACGATGAGTCAATGAATTCCTGATATTAGCTCTCTTCAAATTATGCAACGCCCTCCTTTACTAGCCTTAAAAAGGGTGGCCAAGTGAGTGAAACGTAATTCTCGTATCTAAAGATCATGAATTTAATTCTTACCAACACTGTTTGATCAAACCCGTCGCAAGGGTCTTCCGGGGCAGTATACGTCAAAAAATGGTTGGTTTGTTTCTTAATGATTATTGGAGTCATTTTGTTTTATAAAAGCTAGCATTTTCATACTACAATTGTGGATTTGTGGGCATAGAAAATGTCAATCTTCTAACATCAACATGAATTTTCTCAATATATGGACTATGGAGTGCAAGGGTAAACCTATTTCAGCTACTGTTACCTAAAAACAAATGTCTATGGAATATAGCCCGGGGCAACCCAACAGAGTTGGTCAGGTTGTTGACTTTATAACCAGTTCAAGTTCAACTTCCTGTGAGAATTGCCTATTAATCTCCTCAATTTGAGTGAATCAGCTGTGGGTAACCTAGACTGTTTACATCTTAGGCGGGTTTCACCCAGAGCACACCTTCAGGAAGGAGCTACGTTACGGGCTTTTCCCGTATATCAAGAAAAGTTCATAGCCAAGGGTGCGTGTAAAGCCACACATAAGATGCATATATCGTGCAGCCAAATAAGGAACAGATATGAAAAGAAAAAGATTGTCATGAAATGAGTCCACAGAATATCATACAAAGATTGAAATTGGCATATATCATGACACAGAAACCTATTGAAAATTTTTCATTATAGAACAGTGTAGAGAAAGAAAAAAAGGCACAAGAAATGACAGGAAAAAAGAAAGACTTACTGAGCACCAACTTGTGCACGTTTCTTAGCCTTTTACTTGTCATTCCATTTCCGCTTCTGCCCACATCTATGCACATATTGAATGTATTGCTGAACTGAGGGGGGCACCCGCAATGATTTTGGTAGGGCTACGCTCACTGTTGAAGACTGAACCACTGGCTTATTGAATTCATGGTTTGGCGGACTCATAACTTGAGCACTTGAAACTTGGACCAATCCAGGCTGCGAACTTCCATCATCATTATTCTTCAAAACACCTTTACCAGTATCATGACAGGGTAGATCTGCAGCTGGAGCACTTGAAACTGTTTCCGAACCAGACAGTAAACTTTCAATAGCATTAATCATTGAATCATCCTCTCCAACGTCATTTAATTTAGCAAACACCTGCTCAGCCTCGGATATGATCGTGTTTAATAAGGCATCCTTGAGTTTAGACTCTGCAAGTAATAATTACAAGAAAAATTAAAATAATTCAAATTGAAAATTTACCATTCGTCATGGCTCACATAACAATGTGTGCCATTCTCAACAGCACATATTTCCGCGAGACTCATTGCTTAGCATATCATTTGCGAGATTTCGAGTGTTTTTACCTAAGAGGGAGAGAATTGCAGCACGAGCAGCTAACTGGTCAGCCTTCTTTTTGTGTTTGGCAGGTTCTCCGGTATAATTCTTGCCATTAAAAGAAACGACAGATTTGACATTTGGGTGGATATGGATTGCATTATAAGTTGGTTTGTGGAAATGCATCCTCATGGCGAACACATTTAGGATAGATTTGCACAATAATGCATACTAAAGAAATCCAGAAGGGAAAACAAAATTAGTACAAGTTAATTCATCACTCCATACACTTTGGATTGAAGGGGAAACCACACTCACACTAGAAATTTGTATTAATCAAATGAAAGCACATGAGAATATAGAAACATATATCAATTACAGAATGCAATCCCAACCATAGGTTGGCAAAGATTAAAAACACATGTATGGCTACAGTTCACTTGTTTCTTTCACATGAGGTTTCAATAAATAAAAACTTTGAGTAGGATCTTACTGCAAAAATCATGTGAATATTCAATCATTTACTCTTCTAATTGCTAAACTTTGCAAGAAAGAGCAACTTGAACAGACATTGCTAAATAGTTTATAATGGACCAACCACTAATTTTATTTCAATTATTTGTAATTAGCACTGTGTCATTTGTGCTCTTTCCTGTTATCAAAACCTCTGTTAATGAGTTTTCTTTAATAAAAATATGAGTTTTGAACGTGTTATGTGTTTTGCCCTATGTTCTGTCCTACATTTTTTAAAATTTCGATTTCCAATTTCCCGATTCTATATCATGTCCAAGCTATAGGGATAAAAATCTAACTATTCTATCTCATTTGAAATAGATAGAGAAAATAAATTAATAGCACTAGACTATTATTCATTTAGTTCATTCATTATTGTAGAAAAATTAAATGTAATGACAACCATTTAGCGATTAGCCCAATAGATGTTATGCACTTCTTTGCAGCACTTTTTTTTGTAATCGATGATATAGTAAATCTAGGTAGACTTTAAGATCTCATGATACTAACTAAAACCCTGGTTCCTGATATTTAAAAATATCGGAAATTTATTTTCTTTTTATGTGTATATATATTAGGGGGAATTACCGAATTAATTGTCAAATTAAGCTTATAATTGGATACCAATAATGAATATACCTGCATACCTTTAAGAAGAATTTTAAACTAAAATGAACTCAAGTAACTCAATTGCATAATAAAATATAAAGCATAGTGACTAAAATGAAGGCATATATCTAAAACTATCACCTCTTCAATATCCAGAAGCTTTTCCACATCGTCTGTTTTTTGTGCAATATTATCGAAAGCATTTGGTGGAATACAATCCAAAGCAACCCTGGCAGCGTCCTGCTCTGCAATCCTTTGCTGAGTAAATGTAGTGTGAGAAGTATAACGCTTTCCACATACTAAAACGGTTGCTCTGTACCGCGGGGCATGTTCAGGGCCCTCATTACGAACCTCATAGGTAGGCTTTAATATGTTTGCCTTTTGAGTAAGGTCATCGAGGAAGAACTTGTAATCATTGAAAGCTTTCTGTATGGTATCTGTTCAAACAAAATGAGAGAACTACATGTTGGATTGAAGAAAAATACAATCCATATTGATTAGATAAAGACAACTAAAACATCACGAACAGAATATGTCCCTTGTAGGATACAGTAAAAACGCCAAAGCAAACTAATGATGAAAAAAAATAGATAAATTGAAAAGCCCTACAAATATTATCCTTAAAAAATACTCCGTAAAAGATATAGTAACAAAACAATTTAAAATATAAGTTCCCTAGAAACTGTATCATACAAAACGACTGCATGAATTCGAAAAGAGGCATTTCCATTCACATTAGTCATTTCAGAAGTAATTTTAAGGGCCATCAAGGGTAGCAAATCTAATCAGGCACAGGTGAAAGAAACTTCAAGACATAAATAACCGAGCAAGCCCAGAAGAATGCCTAAAAGTTCCCAAAAAAAATCACTTCTAGGGATATCCATGGCAGGATTGACAGGGGCCACAAAATAGAAAAAGGTAACAGAAACAAGTCAAACAACAACTCACCATTGGAGATGAACTCTGAAACACTCACAGACAATTCTTCAAACCACAGAAAAGATACTATTTGTATTTTTTACCATCCTAATGTCCCCACAAATAAATGTAGAAAAAAAATCTACAAAAATCAATTAGTAAAAACACTGCAGGGCAAGAAATTATTATCAATTGGCTAAGTAGATGTAACCTCAAATCCAAATTAGTTGATTTCCAATGAAATCTCAGATCCAGGGGAAGAATAGTATAAACTGAAGCATGCCCTAAAATAAACTTCGAGACTATAAAAACTCCTAGACTTGAAAATAAAGAGCAGAAAACCATAAAAGATTGAAACAGTTCTGACTGTAAAGCGCCAATTTTTTCTTTAAAATATAAACAAACGGAGAGGTACTTGCTTTGAGTTTCAACGACGGAATTGCCTGTCTGGGAACTGTTATCTGGAGTTTGTGTTGAATGCTTAGTAGAAGGCAGCAGCGCAGCCACGCTCGACTCTAGGGTTTCAGGTTTATCCTTGTGGGAAAGTGTTTCAATGCCTGGACATTATAATTGGAGTATCTCAGACTCACAGACCATTACTCTCTAATCTCTTCGACCATTGATTTAGCAAAAAAGAAGAGAAGCCCAAAAAGGAAGGTGATTATATATATATATATATATATAATTTTTTTAAATAGGGTGTTGGTAAAATTATAAGTAATGTGCTCTCCATCTCAAATTTTATTTTATTAATTTAACTAATATATTAATATCAATATTTACAAAATTAAATATCACTAATGATTTTAAATAAATTCAAATTCTCAACCTCTTTATATATATATTTAGCCATTTTTTAAACACGATTCTTAGCATATCATTTGCGAGATTTCGAGTGTTTTTACCTAAGAGGGAGAGAATTGCAGCACGGGCAGCTAACCACCGTTCGGCCTCCCTTTTTTGTTTGGCAGGCTCTCCGGTATAACTCTTGCCATTAAAAGTAACGACAGATTTGAAAGAGCGAACTAATTTATCTGGCCGAAATGTCTTAAAAGTCGGTTTGCCAAAATGCATCTTCGTGGCGAACACAGATAGGATAGGTTTGCAAAATAATGCATACTAAAGAAATCCAAAAGGGAAAACTAAATTAATACAAGTTAATTCATCACTCCATACACTTTGGATTGAAAGGGAAACCACACTCACACTAGAAATTTGTATTAATCAAATGAAAGCACATGAGAATATAGAAACATATACCAATTACAGAATGCAATTCCCAACCATAGGTTGACAAGGATTAAAAACACATGTATGGCTACAGTTCACTTGTTTCTTTCACATGATGTTTCAATAAATAAAAACTTATCTTACTGCAAAATTCATTTGAATATTCAATCATTTAGTCTTCTAATTGCTAAACTTTTCAAGTAAGAGCAACTTGAACAGTGTTGGTCTCGAAAGGGTGGCGAGAAGTCTAGAGGAGGGGGGGGGGGGGGGGGGGGGGGGGGGTTGAATAGACTTCTCTAACTTTTCAAACTTTCTTCGTAAACACACAATGCAAATAACACTTTGGTAATTTCAACTCTAAGTAACAAGCATTAACAAGTTAAACAACTTAGAGTGTGCAGCGGAATAGGTAGCGGTAAAGTGTTATGCTTAATTAGTGCGGTGCTCAAAGAGAGATTCTAAACATGCAACACGTTAGAAACACTTGATATGGTTCAAAGATGATGTATGTAAATTTTGACTTGCATGCAAACGTGGGAACTATCAAACCCAGACAGATAAAGATATGCGATAAATCGTAATCGGGTTAGTTCATAGTTAGAATAAGCATGCACAAAATATATGAGCAGTAAGTAAAGAGAGAGAGAGATTTATAGTGGTTCAGAGGTGGTGTAATCCTCCTAGTCCACTCTTCTCCTTTCACTTCAAGGAGGAAATTCACTATTATTCGATCACCCAGATACAATAGTGAATAAGTGTCCACCGACACTTCTCCGAGTGCTTCGCACAAAGCTACACTCCTCCAAGATTTTTCGCAAGCTCCTCTTGTTACTCCGCCTTCCCGAGTACTTCGCACCAAGCTGTACTCCTACACCACGAGAACTACGCACAAAGCTACGTCCTCACAGGGTTTTCACAAGCTCCTCTTGTTACTCAGCCCTTTACAACGAGTGCTACGCACAAAGCTACACTCTCACAGGGTTTTCACAAGCTCCTCTTGTTACTCTACCCTTTACAACGAGTGCTACGCACAAAGCTACACTCAATCAGGATTTTTCACTCTCTCTAGTTACTCCGCCCTCTTTCTACACTCAGTAGAGAAATCTACAAAGAGATAAAATTTTTCTCTCACTCAGACTTGAATGTAATTCTATGAAGCTCTGTTTCCCCCTTTTCGGCTAATTTGAAATATTGCTTATATCTCTTGCTTGTATGTCTTAGCCGTACTTAATTTGTAAAATCGCTCAAATCGGAGTTCTTCTGTCTTCAAGTCTGCTTGGGCAATTTATAGCCAATGAAAGTTATTTGCCCGTTGATCAACTTTCGATCTCGATCGTCCATTTTGAATTGCAGTTGATCAAATAATATTGTCAACTTGATCTGAAATATTAGGTAGAAGTCATTTCTCCTTTTGTCAGATGATTTGAATAATTTGCCCGTTGCCGTGTCTTGAATTGATATTTCTTGTCCTTCATAAATGCTCTGACATGTCAAAACTTAATGTTCATATGAAAATATATCAGATATTTTCTCCGCTAGTCTCCCATACAATGGAACGGCATAGCTCACACGCGTTTCTTCCAGCTCCTCTAGCATGGTTCTTGGTAACTTATCCGCATCATAATTGTGTTACGCTATAATCCCGCTTAACTTCTTCAAATAAATTATGATCTTCCAGACTTGTACATGGGTTGCATGATATGGGTGCACCATACTCCGTAGACTTAAACTGACTCAAATAGAATAAAAAATGGGGACTACTTGATTTTTCAAAAATACATTCGGCTCATCAAAATTTACAATATATTCCTAACAAACAGACATTGCTAAATAGTTTATAATGGACCAACCACTAATTTTATTTGTAATTACCTCTGTGTGATTGTGTCGTTTGTGCTCTTTCCTGTTATCAAAACATCTGTTAATGAGTTTTTTTAAATAAAATTCTGAGTTTTGAATGTGTTAAGTGTTTTGCCTTATGTTGTGTCCTACATTTTTTAAAGTTTCCATTTCCCATTTCCTGATTCTATATTACATCCAAGCTATAGGGATAAAAATCTAACTATTCTATGTCATTTGAAATAGATAGAGAAAATAAATTAATAGCACTAGACTATTATTCATTTAGTTCATTAATTGTTGTAGAACAATTAAATGTAATGACAGCCATTTAGCGATTAGCCCAATAGAGGTTATGCACTTCTTTGCAGCACTTTTTATGTGATCGGTGATATAGTAAAACTAGGTAGACTTTAAGATCTTACGATACTAACTAAAACTCTGGTTCCTGATATTTTAAAACAGCGGAAATTTATTTTCTTTTTATGTGTATATTAGGGGGAATTAATTGTCAAATTAAGCTTATAATTGGATATTGATAATGAATATACCCTGCATACCTTTAAGAAGAATTTTAAACTAAAATGAACTCAAGGAAGTAACTAAATAACATAATAAAATATAAAGCATGGTGACTAAAATGAAGGCATATATCAAAAAGTCAATCTAAAACTATCACCTCTTCAATATCCAGGAGCTTTTCCACATGGACCACATCGTCATTTTTTGGTGCAATATCACCCCAAGCAATCTTGGCAGCGTCCATCTCTGCAGCTTTTCATTGAGTAAATGTAGTGTGAGAAGTATAACGCTTTTCACATACTAAAACGGTTGCTCTGTACCGCGGGGCATGTTCAGGGCCCTCATTACAAACCTCATAGGTAGGCTTTGATATGTGTGACTTTAGAGTATGGGCATCGAGGAAGAACTTGTAATCATTGAAAGCTTTCAGTATGGTATCTGTTCAAACAAAAGGAGAGAACTACATGTTGGATTGAAGAAAAATACAGTCCATATTGATTAGATAAAGACAACTAAAACATCACGAACAGAATATATCCCTTGGAGTATACAATAAAAACGCCAAAACAAACTAATGATGAAAAAAAAAAAACCAGCTAAATTGAAAAGCCCTGCAAATATTATCCTTAAAAAGACTCCGTAAAAGATATAGTAACAAAACAATTTAAAATATAAGTTTCCAAGAAACTGTATCATACAAAATGACTGCATGAATTCAAAAAGAGGCATTTCCATTCACATTAGTCATTTCAGAAGTAATTTTAAGGACCATCAACGGTAGCAAATCTAATCTGGCACAGGTAGAAACAACAACTCACCATTGGAGATGAACTCTGAAAATTTTTCTGAAACACTCACAAACAATACTTCAAACCACAGAAAATATACTATTTTTTTTTTTTACCACCCTAATGTCCCCACAAATAAATGTAGAACAAAAATCTACAAAAATCAATTAGTAAAAACACTGCAGGGCAAGAAATTGTTATCGTTTGGCTAAGTAGATGTAACCTTAAATCCAAATTAGTCAATTTTCAATGAAATCTCAGATCCAGGGGGAAGAATAGTATAAACTGAAGCATACCCTAAAAACTCTTAGACTTTGAAAATAAAGAGCAGAAAACCATAAAAAAAATTGAAACTTTTGTCACTGTAAAGCGCCAATTTTTTCTTCAAAATATAAACAAATGGAGAGGTACTTGCTTTGAACTTCAACAACGGGATTGCCGGTCTGGGAACTGTTATCTGGAATTTGTGTTGGATGCTCCGTAGAAGGCAGCAGCGCAGCCATGCTTGACTCCAGGGTTTTAGGTTTATCGTTGTGGGATAGAGTTTCAATACCTGGACATTATAATTGGAGTATCTCAATTCTCAGACTCACACCATTACTCTCTAATATCTTAGACCATTAATTTAGCAAAAAAAAAAAAAACAAAGAAGACCAGAAAGGAATGTGCGCTCCATCTCTAATTTTATTTTATTTATTAATTTAACTAATATATTAATATCAATATTTACAAAATTAAATATCACTAATGATTTTAAATAAATTCAAATTCTCAACCTCTTTATATATATATATATATATATATATATATATATATATATATATATAGGGACGCACTCAGGTGCGAATAAGTGCCCAGGAAGGAAATGCGAACGAATCAGCGCGCGACACATGTCCAGATCTAATAACTTAAAAAAAACGCGGTGGTATTTTTGTAAATAATTGAACATCGAAGTGTAAGTAAAATCTCTTATAAGTGCACCTATTTTCACTTATAAAGGCATGTAATTTTGCCTTGTTAGCATTCACTTTCCGCAACCATTCATGCACCTGGGTGTGCTTATAACTATATGTGCAACTATTTATAACTATAGGTGCGACTACTTATAACTATAGGTGCAACTACTTTCACCTATGAGTGCATGTAATTTTGCCTTGTTAACATTCATTGATCTGAGTTCAGCGGGTAGTAATACTCTTGAAAACCACTCGCAAACATTCATACACCTAGATGCAACTATTTATACCTATGTGTGCAACTACTTAGAACTATAGGTGCAACTACTTAGAACTATAAGTGCAACTAAGTATTGATGCTCAGTGTAAATTTTTACTTGCACCTATAATACATTTTACATGCACTTGTAATACATTTTACTTGCACTTCGATGTTCAATTATTTACGAAAATGTCATCGCATTTTTTTAAAAAATCAGTGTTTCTCATCCATTAGATCTGGACACGTGGACGAACAGAATCCATGCCTATTTCGCGCCTGGGCGAGCCGTTCGCACCCGAGTGCAAGTCTATATATATATATATATATATATATATATATATATATATATATATTTAACACGATTCTTTACAAGTTAATATTTATAGTTCGATCCTATAATCATTCATTTAAAATGATCATAGTTGTGTCATCACATTACATGATAGTTAGTCAATTTTATCAAAGAGTAATTACACAAAATGATCCCTCGACTATAGCTAAATTCACAAATTAGTCCTCGCCTTTCAATTTCAACCAATTAAGTCCTTAACTTTGTAATTTTAACACAATATGGTTCTCTGTCTATTTGACCGTTTGTTGACTGTGATTTTTGAGGATATATATGTAATTTCATGGTCCATCGTCAGTTTTTTAAGGTTCTGGTTGCATTTCTAGACCGCACTGTTACATTTGAATCCATTGCCGAAAGCAATCTACCAAATCCGGTCGCCTTTCTTCATCCTCCATTCGAATTCAATGTAGTTGAGTTCGTACCAGAGCGAAGAAGACGACGTGTTTCCGAACCAGTGCAACGTCATCCTGGAGGCCTCCAGGTTCTTCTGGAGATCGTCGATCACGGTCAACAAACGGTCAAATAGATGGAGGACAAAATCGTGTCAAAATTACAAAGTTAAGGACTTAATTGGTTGAAATTGAAAATCGAGGACCAATTTGTGAATTTAGCTATAGTCGAGGGACCATTTTTGGTATTTACTCTTTATCAAATGTAATTGAGATAAGTCGCAAAAAGTTTGATTTATTTTATAAACCTTATATTTTTCATAGTATAATGAGAATCTCATTAATAAATCTATAAAACACACTGATCTAAGCCTTGCCATTGTTATGTTATGGAATCGTGTCCACCATGCAAGGTGGACACGGTTCTATGTTCATAATTATAAAATTCTATGTTCATAATTTTTGAATTTCATATTCGCAATTATTGAACTCTATATTCACAATTACAGAACTCTATGTTCATAATTACTGAACTCTATGTTCATAATTTTTGAACTTCATATTCACTATTGTTGAACTCTATATTCACAATTACAAAACTCCATGGTCATAATTATAGAACTCTATATTCATAACTCTATGTTTATAATTATATAACTCTATGTTCATAATTTTTGAACTCTATATTTATAATTATGACAGTTTTAGAATCATATCCACCTTGCAAGGTGGACATAGTTCCTAAGCAAAATTTAAGCCTTGAGAGTGGGCTGACCTTTTCGTTATTGGTTTCTTTCCTTAGGGTAAGAACTTGTTGGGCTGGCCCATACTGTTGGCCAACATAAGTTACTCTGACAAAAAAGATATATAATACACCTATAAGACATGGGCCACCCAATTTAACCAGCTCATATAATAGAGTGTTTGGTTGGAAAGAATGAATTAAAGGGAAAATAAATTGTAATTCCGTGAGAAAAGAATAAAGTGGAAATTTAAATTACATTATTTGGTAGGAAATAATAGGGTGATGAGGAATTGAGAGGAAAAAAGTGAATAAATACTAAAATGCCCTTATATAATATTAATATAATAATGATAATGAGGGTAAAGTGGTAATTTATAATGAAATTGCAATTCCATCCTACCAAACACTTCATAAATTCAAACAGTTTAAAATAGCTCTGATCAAATATACCCGCCAAGTAACGTACAACACAATACACAACGAATTAGAACTTGGAGGGTGTGGTTGAGTGAAATAGACTCAATCATCCTTAAATCAAATGTCAAGAGTTCGATTTTTCACTTAGAGTATGGAGTAGTCTTAAGTTTCGAGGTCAGTTGTCTCACCCTTAGAGGTCCCTACAATTTATTGAGGGCATTAATCACTCTGTCTACGGTGAAAACCATGGGCTAATAAAAAAAACAATGAATTATAGTGTGAACTTAAAAGATAAAGTATCAATTGTGCAGACTTTCTGCTTAAAAGGTGAAATAGGCAATGTGTTAGGTTGTATTCTTCGTACCTAAAAATGTGTCACTCGATGATTAGATGAAATTAGTTAAGAACGCTCCAAATACATATAAGTAAACGGTTTTCACTCTTGACACTCCAAACACAAGAATTCCCTAGTAGACATATTGTTATTTTGTCAATTTTTTTTTTCTAACAAAAATACTTAACAATGTAATTAAATATTCATATCGAGTCATTATCATTATTAGTGTTTAACTCTAACACTCAGTAAAGTTTTTTTAAAAAATAATAAAAATTGTACTTGTTTGCTTTATACACTGATGTGTGATGATAGGACCACCCAACTAACTAATACATCCCATATTAACTCCAATAATGACAATGATTTTGCAATTATTATAACAAATATATTATCCAATAATTTTGCCATTGCCATGCATAATAATATCTCAAAAAGATATTACTGGCATGTCTCTAATCACAAATCTATTGTTGGGGAGGACCCATATTTTTGGTACCGACATCTGGCGCACGTGTAGCGACCCGATCCATTTTCCATTTGTTAATCAACACTCAAGAGAAACTAACCCGTACCGGAATCTTCAATTCAATTTTGTTGTTGTTAACCTAGCCATACTTAAGTTATATTTAATGTTGTAATTCGTAATTGCTTTGTACTGCCAGCTGGCATTTGTTCGTCCAACCAGCATACCTGCCCCGAGCCCGCCTTTGTCTACTTTGGCTAGAGTTCATCTCCTTTTTGCAAAATCAATATATTGGGAAGGAATCAAGGAAAAGTCTTGATCCTTCAATTGCTTATAAATTATAAATTTAGTCTATTTTTAATGTTTTATAAATTTGAGTTTTAATTATTAAATGAGTGGTAAATTTAGCATTAATAGGGATATAGGGATATATAAAGGACTTGTACGTATATTCGTCAATCACATCTAACTTCAACAGTATGTCTCTCGATTCGAAAAATTGGGGAACCAGCCCCATCTAAGCAAACTAATGACTTGTGAAGTGTCTTCTTAGTTGTTCAATTATCCGAATCAACTCAATATGGACTGTGGCGTGACCGACCTTATTGAACATGGGTAAGCACCATGTAACTCCAATAGCAAGAATCCTGACATGTGTCTTATTGCCCAACACTATAAAAGTTGGCTAACCCATCGAAAAAACTGACTCTTATTAGACGAATACTATCTTAGCACTACCTAACCTGGAAACTCCAACTAATGCTTGTTTACTAAAACACTATATTTATTAAATGCAATATTTTAACTTGTTTTATACATTTTTACTCCTAACATATCTAAATCGTACTAAAGAATCACATTGAATGGTAGTTAACACTATTAAGCATATTAGTAATTGAGATGTCAAAATTGCTGGTATCTAGAGTTTTATGAGAAAATAGATAATTGATTATATGTTAAAACTATACCTTCAAACATTTCTAAATACAAGTAAAACTTAACGTCATAGTTAGTTGAGGAGTTAGATTTACATTTAATTTAACAATAATTAATCAAATTGTAAAAATTGAGAGATACACTCAATTTGTAACTCTGAAACAATGAAGAGATCAAAAGTATGATTTTAAAAAAATAAAACGAGTTAACAATGTTAACGTAAGATGCATGATAATTAATTCTCTATAATAATTTAAGATATTAATTACTCGTGAAAAAAGTTACATAAAAATTATGCATATAAAGCAATGCTACAAATCTTTTTGGCGTGACAATAATTCAAATAATTTAAAAAGTACGCATGAATATTATTTGTCATTCTTTCAACATTTGAAATCTTACAAATACTAATTGATTTTTTTAAATAAAAAAATAAAAAATAATCCACTTGGTTTGTCACGCAAGATTATAAGCATATGACCCACAAGGGCAACTCAGTTAATTTTTAGAAAATAATAAATTGTAGGCAATGACACATGTTTGAATATTGACAGTCGTAGTGTAGGAGTTACACCCAATGTAGTGGTTCCTTGTGGGCACCATGCACTAGTCCTCCCACTTAATGAGTCGTTGTGTCACCATGATTTACCCCTCTAATATCCTGTCGATCCGAGGTGCGAGGGCCTAGTGACCAAAGAATTTCACCTTTTGCGGGCAAGATTATAAGCATA